ATATTTCACAGCAAATTAAACTATTACATGTTTAACGCTGCAGAAAGTCAGCGACATAAACACATTGCCTGAAATGTTGTTCCAAAACAAGAGCCTGACTAATGTAATTAGGAATATATGCTGAAGGCTATGAATTTATATTCATGCAGAAACTGTGAGGAAGTTCCTTTTGCAGTTATTCCCTCCAATTCCTAACAGCCTGGAGAACTACGGCACTGAGGAAATAAGAAAAGCTGCAACACTAAAGACAAGACTGGACAGGCTGCTTAGATGTCAATGCAATTAAGCTTAAATGCTTTTAGTACACTGAAACAACCTCTTTACACTCAATATATGCTTATCATATCAGTCTATAATTTTTATATCAAGACATTTGTCCAGTTGCATGGCAATTTCAAATTAGATTTCCATAAGTTGCAAATCATAAGGCCATTTTGCTTTTCTTCACAATGAGAGAGAGAGAGACTGGCTATTCCTGAGAGCCAGCTGAAAGGTGCATGATTAATGAATTCGCTCCTAATAAACATTGCCCAGCAGCTCTATCATCTCAGCTTAAATCAGTTTGAAAATAAATGTTGAGTTATTTCACATAAAAACATTTATCTATGTACATTTCACATTTGACTTGCACGTGAAATGAATTAATAAATGTGAATTGACACACCATACAGTGCTTAGAGAGTCAATCATTGCATTTTTTCAGAGCAGAGGCAAATAGACACTAACTTTTAAGGCAGATAAATATTTTCTTAAAAATAGGAAAACAAATGCTGATGTGCAAAGTTCTTAGAGACTTACCCAGAAGGACTCACAGCTGTAATCACTGTCAGGGGGTTGAATACTTACAGTATCAGTCAAAAGTTTGGACACACCTAATCATTCAAGGGTTTTTCTTTATTTTTACTATTTTCTACATTGTAGAATAATAGTGAAGACATCAAAACTATGAAATAACACATGGAATCATGTAGTAATCAAAAAAGTGTTAAACAAATCAAAATATATTTTAGATTCTTCAAAGTAGCCACCCTTTGCCTTGATGACAGCTTTGCACACTTGGCATTCTCTCAACCAGCTTCATGAGGAATGCTTATGGAAAAAGTAAAGGGGTGTGAATACTTTCTGAAGGCACTGTACAGTATATAAAGGGAGACTATGCAGTCAGAGGGACTACCCCTTTTTATGGTTAATATTATGTTGTGTGTGATTTGAACAAAGATTGCCATCTTAGTGAATCCTTTTATTTAGGAAACAGACAGACAGACAACACAAATTGCTGAAATGTTAAGCAATATTGAAATACAACCACCCATGAATCGTCCTGATAAGATCCTGTTCCCTTTAGTTCAGGTTGACGATGGCGCAGTACGATTGCCCAGACATATGTCCCAAAACAGACATAACAAATTGGCTTTCAATCATTCCTACAGTGATAAGGTAACTGTGACATTGGAATAAATATTTTAACCCCAGCATTTGGAAAGTATCCATTTTACAGGATGGAATTTATTTTCTGTGTTCAGTAAAAATATTAATCTAAGCACCAGGCTGGTGACGCATTATGGGCAAAGCTACTGAATGTGCATATTTCACAGCAAATTAAACTATTACATGTTTAACGCTGCAGAAAGTCAGCGACATAAACACATTGCCTGAAATGTTGTTCCAAAACAAGAGCCTGACTAATGTAATTAGGAATATATGCTGAAGGCTATGAATTTATATTCATGCAGAAACTGTGAGGAAGTTCCTTTTGCAGTTATTCCCTCCAATTCCTAACAGCCTGGAGAACTACGGCACTGAGGAAATAAGAAAAGCTGCAACACTAAAGACAAGACTGGACAGGCTGCTTAGATGTCAATGCAATTAAGCTTAAATGCTTTTAGTACACTGAAACAACCTCTTTACACTCAATATATGCTTATCATATCAGTCTATAATTTTTATATCAAGACATTTGTCCAGTTGCATGGCAATTTCAAATTAGATTTCCATAAGTTGCAAATCATAAGGCCATTTTGCTTTTCTTCACAATGAGAGAGAGAGAGACTGGCTATTCCTGAGAGCCAGCTGAAAGGTGCATGATTAATGAATTCGCTCCTAATAAACATTGCCCAGCAGCTCTATCATCTCAGCTTAAATCAGTTTGAAAATAAATGTTGAGTTATTTCCAGTGGCGGCTCCTGAAAAAATTCTCAGGAGGGGCAATTTTTCTGATGATTTAGGTGACCTACACACATTTTTAAAAAGATATGTCCAGCAACAACATGAAGACAGGGGCAGCATATAAGTCAATACCAGAAGCATTTATTGACTGATCTCAAAAGTGTTGGCTTACAAAAGCAAAATAAGTTATCACAGTAAAAATAATCAAGGGTGTTCTTTCACATTCCTCAACACTGCATAAACAATATGTATGGCTTTGTAAAAATGAACAACCATATTCTGGCCAATTGTATAGATTTGTAAATATGAACAACCATATTCTGGCCAATTGTATAGATTTGTAAAAATGAACATGAACAGATTTTTTTATTTTTTTATTCCTCTTTTTAGTCAGCTTTAGAATGTGTTCATACACTTATGAGCACCACTGTACAGTACACATAGTATATAAAATAAGATAGATTACACCACTGGCCATATATAATGACAATAATGTAATTTCAAACACAAATGCAGTCTCCTTTCATGCATACATTTTCAAATAAAGCTCTGCTTTGAGAAAGATCGAATGATATTGTTTAATCTTTATCTTACCTTATGGCCTGCACACTGCTTGCGAAGCTGTCGAGGGCACGTTTGATAAAGACAGCATCGATGTCCTTATTCTGTAGCTTCTGGTACGGTGGGCTGGTCAAATGAACCCAATGAACCCGTCCGGATGGCTTCAAAACATTCTATGAGGTCGTCTCGATTCTCGTAGACAGTGTTCACGACTCTGCTGTTGCTAACCTCATCGTTGTGGCGGCGGACAGCTAGCCTGTATCCCTCATCCAGTTGAGTGGCAATATTCACTCTCACCAAAGCAGACAATCTCAAACAGCTATCAATGTGGGTCTTTGACAGCTCATTTTTCTTAATCTTTTCTGAAAGATGGTGCATGTCGGTTACACCAGTCGCTGTCCAAGCGTTGCTGTCTGCCGTTCATGGTTACGTTACGTTACGTATGACGAAAGCGCGTAAGTGCAAGCCCTCAGACACCCATAGAGAATGTATTGAAAGCTCAGAAATTTGAAAAAAACATATTTTACATTAGAGGCTATGAGAGACTTCTGGGCGATTTTCAACCTGACTGAAATCGCCCCAAAACGGGCGGGGACATTTGAAGCACGACTTTAGCCTGATTGGACATTTAGTGGCTGGCAGATCAGACGTGAACACTGAACTACTGTTGCCATGATATAATTGATTAGAAAAAAAATCCCTTCCTTTTCCCGTTTGGCAGTGCGTCGCCCATATCGCCCTATTGAACACACCGCCCATGGTTATTTCACATAAAAACATTTATCTATGTACATTTCACATTTGACTTGCACGTGAAATGAATTAATAAATGTGAATTGACACACCATACAGTGCTTAGAGAGTCAATCATTGCATTTTTTCAGAGCAGAGGCAAATAGACACTAACTTTTAAGGCAGATAAATATTTTCTTAAAAATAGGAAAACAAACCAATATATACAGTGGGGAGAACAAGTATTTGATACACTGCCGATTTTGCAGGTTTTCCTACTTACAAAGCATGTAGAGGTCTGTAATTTTTATCATAGGTACACTTCAACTGTGAGAGACGGAATCTAAAACAAAAATCCAGAAAATCCCTCCTGTTCTCCACTCATTACCTGTATTAACTGCACCTGTTTGAACTCGTTACCTGTATAAAAGGTGAAGGTGAGGGATCAGCCCAGAACTACACGGCAGGACCTGGTCAATGACCTGAAGAGAGCTGGGACCACAGTCTCAAAGAAAACCATTAGTAACACACTATGTCGTCATGGATTTAAATCCTGCAGCGCACGCAAGGTCCCCCTGCTCAAGCCAGCGCATGTCCAGGCCCGTCTGAAGTTTGCCAATGACCACCTGGATGATCCAGAGGAGGAATGGGAGAAGGTCATGTGGTCTGATGAGACAAAAATATAGCTTTTTGGTCTAAACTCCACTCGCCGTGTTTGGAGGAAGAAGAAGGATGAGTACAACCCCAAGAACACCATCCCAACCGTGAAGCATGGAGGTGGAAACATCATTCTTTGGGGATGCTTTTCTGCAAAGGGGACAGGACAACTGCACTGTATTTAGGGGAGGATGGATGGGGCCATGTATCGCGAGATCTTGGCCAACAACCTCCTTCCCTCAGTAAGAGCATTGAAGATGGGTCGTGGCTGGGTCTTCCAGCATGACAACGACCCGAAACACACAGCCAGGGCAACTAAGGAGTGGCTCCGTAAGAAGCATCTCAAGGTCCTGGAGTGGCCTAGCCAGTCTCCAGACCTGAACCCAATAGAAAATCTTTGGAGGGAGCTGAAAGTCCGTATTGCCCAGCGACAGCAACAGTCCTGAAACCTGAAGGATCTGGAGGTCTGTATGGAGGAGTGGGCCAAAATCCCTGCTGCAGTGTGTGCAAACCTGGTCAAGACCTACAGGAAACGTATGATCTCTGTAATTGCAAACAAAGGTTTCTGTACCAAATATTAAGTTCTGCTTTTGTGATGTATCAAATACTTATGTCATGCAATAAAATGTAAATTAATTACTTAAAAATCATACAATGTGATTTTCTGGATTTTTGTTTTAGATTCCGTCTCCTGCAAAATCGGCAGTGTATCAAATACTTGTTCTCCCCACTGTTTTATATTTCCAAGCTCAAAACCCTGGTATTACACATATTTAAAAAAATCTACATTTGCTATCATTATTACTGGTGGAAAAAGTGCAATAATGAATCAATTTTCAAACCGGCTAATTGTGAACTACAGAGTTTATGAGACCTGTGGGTATTCAGGCTTGCTCCAGTTCCACGAGTACTCCATCACAGTCTTTTGGGTGGAGGAACATGACAGGTTTCCCATGAGCACCTATCCGTGGTTCAGCTGACAGGGTTCTTATGTTCCTAGCCTTCAGATCCACTATCGCCGCATTGATATCATCAACCTGAAATCACAAAAATAACATACAATATGATTACATTAGAGAACCGACAAGGAGATAAGGATAGAGTGAGTGAATACAGCCCATTCATGTGGGCTGAACAGCACATGCAGCATTGCTAAGACTGACTCACCTCAATGCAGATATGGTGCATCCCACCAGATTTGTTCTTCTGTAGGAAGCCTGCAATGGGGCTCTTCTCCCCGAGTGGGTGCAGCAGTTCCAGCTTGGTGTTACCCAGCTCCACAAAGACAGTGTAGACTCCATGCTCAGGAAGGGGAACTTTATCGCTGACCTGAGCCCCCAGCACATCTCTGTAAAGAGCAGTGGCTTTCTCCATGTCTGGTACAGCTATAGCAATGTGATTCAGCCTTCCCAGTTTCCAGACAGATCCTGGAATACCTTGGCAGAGTGGTGTTGAGGTTGAAAGTGTCCTCAGCATTGGAGAACAAGTGTGACGAACACACTTTGAGAGACCTGTAACTAAAGAAACAGAGTGTTTAGTTCTGCCATACTGCCAAACCGTTTTTTTTTCTCCTCCGGAGTACGGATCATATTTGATTGAATATGCTACCTGGATAAGTCAAGTAGCTAGCAACAGGGAACACTTGCTAAAAGTAATTCTGCACTAACAACGGTGGATCTAGCTTCTTTTGTTGTGTAGCCCGAGATAAAAACGTCTAAAGAGACTGTTTCTGACATGTGAAACACTATTTATAACCTGACGTTAGCAAGCTGGCTAACAACAACAGCTAGTTACTAGATATCTATACTTACATGCAACCTTCAACACGGACGCCGCCATATTTTCGAAGATTCGTGCAACGTAGGATAGCGAATCGGTTTGAATGTCAAGACAATGGGATAGAGCACACGTATATTGCTTTTCAATTAAAAACGTATGTTGCACTTGTAAATACAGTTATTTGGGATATGAATGTTGTCTATCCAGCTAGCTAAATCTAAACCGGACCTGCTATCCGGATCTTTGTAGCACAACAGAGGTTTGTTTCCGGGGGGAGCATATTTTCTTGTTACACACATGTTCCCATGTGAGGGAAAAACGATGGCTACCGGGGAAATAGGTAACACGTTGGAGAGCTGTTTAAAGCTACTAAACATAAAAACTGCACATCCAGAAAATTTTCTTAGGTAAGTGCAACATCTTTATAATAATATCCAGATATGTTTAACTTAAAATCAATTCACTCACTTGCTGCCATCGTTACACAATGCTAAGGCTAGCTAGCATCTAGCAAGCATTCCCTGTTTGGATAGCTAGTTAGCTAGAACACGTCATCAAATATTCTTAAAGATAGCCCAGCAGCACCGATAAACTTGATTCTAATAATTTAGCTACCCATGATTAGTTGAGCCAGGTGTGGGTACTGGGCTAGAACAAACCGATGCACACCCTGTGGGTTTTCAAAGCCAGGGTTGGTTGAAGAAGACTGCTACTAACCACTGTACTACTTGAAGAATGCTGTTAACAAACATTGCTAGTTGTATTCTTTCTTTGTGTGTATAGTCTTCAGGATGGAGTGGCAACAGACTTCACTTCTCTCACTAAGACCCTGTATGATTTACACAAAACCCATGAGCCAGAAGACTCAAAGGGAAGCCCTCTGGACCAGCTGGTGGTTGAGAACTTTGATGAGGAACAGATATGGCAGGAGCTGGAGCTCCAGAATACTGCAGTGCTGAAGCACTTTGAGACAGCAGTGAGTCAGGCTGCCTTGGATACAGCTCTGAGTATCCTGTTTAATGAAGAGGATGCTGACGAGGAGCCAGATGAAGGGGATGAACAAGATGGTGACGACATAGAAGAGGAGATGAGAGATGGGGATTTGGAAGATGGGGAAGGAGAAGAACCACCCATGCTTAAAACTGCTATGGATGCCTTGAGAGGGGATAACACAGACGAGGACTCTGATGTAGATTTTGATGTGGACGCATTAGAAAAACAAGCTAAACAGAAGAAATGCTCAGCGGGGAGAGAGTCAAAACCACTGGGTCCTCCATCAGAGGTTGATGACAGGTTCTTCAAGCTCTCAGAGATGGAGTCCTTTTTGGACGATATGGACAAAAGGGAGGGGAAGGAGGGGGATGATGATGTAGACTATTTCCAGGACTTGCCCTCTGGAGATGAAGATGAAGACATAGACCTCTTCGGTGAAAATGTTTCTTCCAAAGAAAACAAAAAGACAAGCACAGTATGTATCATATTGCTTTTCTCTCTGCCAGACCTAGCTACTGTTCAGCTACATGTGTTTGGTGTGTTTCTGGTCATTACTGTAGACCAACACACTGATTAAATTCCTATTAATGTACTATGTTTTTTCTGTAGCTGAAAAGTTCCAGGAATCTGAAGTACAAAGACTTCTTTGATGCTGTGGATGATGATCCTGCACAAACAGCTGACCAATCAGACGCAGAGGATGAGGACAACAGTATGGATGGGATGCAAGATGAAGATGATGATGAAGAAAATGAGTAAGTGGCTGATGCAGGAATCTCATATTAATGTCATGGTTGGAATTGCATCAATAGGGAATATAGGGGAGGGATATTCATTTTGTACTTAAGATACGTGTTGTGTTTGTTCCTTTGCTGTTTTAGGGACTTCGTTGAGGATGAAGAGTGCAGACAAGCCAAGGAGGCTTTGAAACGGGTGACCTTTAACCTACCTGGAGAAAGTGACGACAGTGAGGGAGAAGAGATGGCGGACATCTTTGGAGGAAAGTCTCAAAATGCTACAAAACCTGAATCCAAATCATCCTTTGAGAAACGACAAGACAAGGCAAGCTTTTCCTCAAGGGTTGTTTCAGAATATCTAAATTGGGTTGGGTGTAATTTCATTTACTCTCATTTCATCTGCCGTATATAGAACTTTATGTAGCACACTAATGAAATGGTAAATTCTTACCTTACACAGATGGCTGAAAAGATCCAGGATTTGGAAAAGGCTGCCATGGGAGAGAAGCCATGGCAACTGACAGGAGAGGTGTCTGCTCAGACTCGTCCAGAGAACAGCCTTCTGGAGGTGGATGTGGCATTTGACTCGGCCTCCAGGATGGGTACGTACCACATACTTGTCAGTCTGTTCAGTTTAGCTGTCATTCCTGTTGGAGATGGTTTAGTATTTTACTTACTGCAAGTTTGTGTCGGCTGTGTGTGTGAGAGAGAGAGGGGGTTTGTTCAGTCAGGTAACAATTACTCTGTTTTCTCTCAGCCCCTGCTGTAACAGAGGAAACCACTTTGCAGCTGGAGGACATCATCAAGCAGAGAATTAAAGACCAGGTCAGTGTATAGACGGGTCAGTTGTTTAGCAACAAAACCAACGCATGCTCAACTATGGGGCAAAACAGACCGGGTTGGCTTAGATTGCTGACAACATTTAAACTATGTCTCCAATGTTTATTGAAAACATACATTTGCACAATGAGAACTTGTCTTTCAAGTACATCGTCATAGTTGTTGGTTAGCTAGCTAGTGAATCTGAGCCATTTTAATCAGTCAAAACACCTAAAAACAAGACATAGTATCAAGAACAAGATAAAACTAGCTGAGAAGAGCCACCTAAGATTCCCCACATGGCAGCTTCTTGTCAATGCTACAGTATCTGGCCCTTCATAATCTCAACAACACACGAACGTCTGCACCATTGAATCGCATGGATCGTTTTCGTGACAGTTGTCAGCTAACGTGTCTTTAGAGACTGTTAACTCCATCTTGACAACAAACTGAACAACTATTCTCAGTTGGATCCAGCTGAATGTGTCATCATCGTTTCATTCTGAGTAAATGGGTAACCGCATTGGCACATTTCAAAGGCAATTTTTCTTTTCGGACATCTATTTTTTTCTAAGGTGTGGGATGATGTGGTGCGCAAGGAGAAGCCTAAGGAAGAGGTGTTTGAGTACAAGAAGAGGCTGACTCTGGACCATGAGAAGAGCAAGCTGAGCCTTGCAGAGGTTTATGAGCAAGAGTACCTCAAGCAGAATCAGGTAGTTATTTCATTATATTTTAGTGTGAACATACTTGGCTTAGCTCTATATTGCAATGAATGCATTTTTTGTTTGTTGAATTTATTATTTTGATTATTTCGATCTATTTCCCTTGTATTTCAGCAAAAGACAGAGGAAGAAGAAAACCCAGCCCATGTAGAAATTCAAAAGCTCATGGATTCTCTATTCCTTAAACTTGACGCTCTCTCTAACTTCCACTTCACACCCAAACCGGTGAGTTTTCCTGTCAATGTTTCCTTGTGCCCTGGACACTGCAAAGCTGCAGCTGGCTCAAAACAAAGCAGCACGCCTTGCCCTTGCCCTTAACTGCAGACACAGAACTAACATCAACAACATGCATGATAGTCTTTCATGGTTGGGGAGAAATTGACTACTTCACTTCTAGTCTTTTTAAGAAACAGTTGTGTGTTGAAAATGCCTAACCACTTGTATAATCTATTTGCATACACTTCAAACAGACATACCCCACCAGACACACCACTATAGGTTTTTTCACGGTACCCAAACCAAAAAACAGATTTAATGCGTCGCTCAGTTATGTATAGAACCATGTCATCGTGGAATGTCTGCCACCAGAGGTTACACAGGCAAAAAGCAAGTTTAGCTTTAAAAAAACATATTGTGTCACAGCGCCTCTCCTCTTTCTAAAGATCCAATTTAACTACTGTATATATGAATAGTGTGTAAGTAGTATTTTTGTCGTCTCTCTTTCCTATATATAACTCTTATTTTATTTTTAATGTAATATCTTATGATTTTCTTGTCTATTACTGTTCTGTACATTGTCATGTATTTATCCGTTTTATGTGGACCCCAGGAAGAGTAGCTGCTACATGTGCAGTAGCTAATGGGGATCCTAATAAACTAAACACTAGCATTTGCATGACAACCAGAATGTATGCTTGTCTTTAAAGATGGTATATTTAAGCAATAAGGCACAAGGGGGTGTGGTATATGGCCAATATACCACGGCTAAGGGCTGTTCTTATGCATGACACAACGCGGAATGCCTGGACACAGCCCTTAGCCGTGGTTTATTGGCCATATACCACAAACCCTCAAGGTGCCTTGTTGCTATTATAAACTGGTTACCAACATAATTAGAACAGTAAAAATAAATGTTTTGTCATACGCGTGGTATACAGTCTGATATACCAGGGCTTTCAGACAATCAGCATTCAGGGCTCGAACAACCCAGTTTATAATGAAGGATTTTGTACAAATGTGGAAATGCTTTTTGCACAATATTGATATGTTTTTTTTTTCTTTGTGTCCTGCAGCCTGTTCCTGAAGTGAAAGTTGTCTCCAATCTGCCTTCTATTGCTATGGAGGAAGTCGCTCCAGTCAGTGCTAGTAATGCCACTCTATTGGCTCCAGAGGAAGTCAAGGTTTGTCATGCATACCTCTCCATAACATGAACATTTCATGAAGGCGTTATGGGAAATCATATTCTAGTAGAGGACACTGACGCGTACAAAAGCATTCAAGGGTTGAAGACAACCAATGAACTACTGTGCTGTCCACCATAGTAGCCTTTTAGTAGATGCTTCTGAGGACAGGGTAACACCATTTCCTTTCTGATCTTAGGAGAAGAACAAGGCTGGCGACGTGCTGGGTGACTCTGAAAAGACCTCCACAGACAAGAAACGAGACAGACGCAAGAAGAAGAAGGTGAAGCGCATCAAGATCCAGGAGAAGGAGAAGAGACAGAAACTGAAGGAGGCTAACAGAACTGGAGAGAATAAGAAACAATCAAAGGCAGAGGTGGCAGAAAACCTCAAGAAACTCACAAAGGGAGGCAAAGCAACATTATTGAAGGTCAGTGTTTTCTTTCTCTCTGCATGTCTCGTTTTTTATATTTAGTTAACGTTGTCTTTCAAATACAAGCCCCTCCATTATATTTCTGTGTGAGCAATATAGACTGATAAGGCCATTGTGTGCTCCACACATTTTCATTTGTAAGTATTACAATAGCTAGGATAAATACATAAATGTGTAATTAAATGTATCATTAATTAATTCAAATACCGATTCATTTTATGTAAAATACATATATAATTATTTCACTATTTACATTTACATTTCATGATCCTGCATTGCAGTGATTCATGAATTACTTAAAACTGTCAAACTGACCCATCAAAGTCAGTGGGCGGGGCTAACGCGAATCTAGTCTGATCCATTGCTTTGGTCTGAAGTAGAGTAGGCCAACCTGGATAGAGACAATGGAGGATCTCCGTGAACTTTCCAGGGAGTTGGTTAGAGACATTTTAAACTTAGCAGAGGATGTAGAAGCAGGACCTGCTGACATTATCCGGAATTGATTTGTCTTGGCTTGATGCAGAGGGTAACCAATCAGGCGTTAGGTTCCGCCTACCAACTTTTGATGGGTCAGTTTGACAGTTTTAAGTAATTCAGGAAGCACTCCAACGCAGGACCATGAAATGTAAATGTAAATAGTGAAATTATTATATATGTATTTTACATAAAATGAATCGGTATTTGAATTAATTAATGACACATTTAATAACACATTTATGTATTTAATTCTAATTTTAATTAATTAATGACACATTTAAGTAATTATTTAATGGTGTATTTATTTATTTAATTGTGGCACTTTTAGTCCTCCATAGGATTCAGCTGTCTGTCACAGTTGCAAATAGTTTCTTAAAAATAGATGTTGAGCTTTTTTTATTTGTTCTCTGTTCAAGGATGAGGGGAAGGACAAAGCTCTCCGCTCCTCCTCCGCCTTCTTCTCCCAACTACAAGACCAAGTGAAGAGCCAGATTAAAGGAGCCAAGGACCCGGGCTCCAAGAAGAAGAAACACAAAGAACTCTCAGCCAGCAAACTCAAGTTGTAACATTTAGATTGTTATGATGATGTCTGTGTTATGATAATGCATATTTCTTTGTACAGATTTTTTCAAGTTTGTAATTTGCAATAAAAAAAAACAAGACATGATGTAATTTATTCTGACTTTTTATGACCAATTAGATTCACACTATTGATCTATTCAGCTAATCGATGGGCAGCAGGTGAAAAATCTTCTGATGTGCCCTTGGGCAAGGCACTCAACCATAATTTGCTCCAGGGGCGCCATACTACTGTAAAACGAGGGCCAAACTCATTCATTCACATTACATTTACGTCATTTAGCAGACGCTCTTATCCAGAGCGACTTACAAATTGGTGCATTCACCTTATAGCCAGTGGGATAACCACTTTACAATATGTTTTTTTTTTTATTGGGGGGGGGGGTAGAAGGATTACTTTATCCTATCCCAGGTATTCCTTAGAGGTGGGTTTCAAGTGTCTCCGGAAGGTGGTGAGTGACTCCGCTGTCCTGGCGTCGTGAGGGAGCTTGTTCCAGCATTGGGGTGCCAGAGCAGCGAACAGTTTTGACTGGGCATTCCATGGAGGGCCTAGTGTCTGCTGGTTTTTAGTTTCAATCAAGACCTAGACAACCAGGTGAGGGGAGTTCTTTACTAATCCGTGATCTTAATTCATCAATCAAGTACAAGGGAGGAGCGAAAACCCGCAGACACTCGGCTCTCCGTGGAATGAGTAGACCCATGCCGTAAAACCATATTTTACTGCACCTATCCGGTTTACGTGACAAAAACATGTATTATTATTATTAGCTAAATCGTTGATTCAATTAGTGATTATTGTTGAAGGTTCACACTACTACTTGCAGCTTATTTTTCATGTGAGTATTAAGGGTTTTTCTGGTTTTAAAAAATTTAGCTGTGGGGTGTAGTTTTGAAATTCAGCCTTGCTGCTCTGTGCAGTTTGACCAGATATATTGTGGTCGTCTTCCTCAAAACATCACTGGCTATGGAGCTAGCGTACTGTACATTTTTGGCATTGGGTCTAATTTATTTAAAATCTAGTTTATGGCTCTCCAATCCACCATCGCCTTCTAGTGGTGTAAACAGCAGATGTGAACCGCCCACGTTTTGAAAGATTCCCGTGACGTCACTCAGTAATCTTTTTGTGATTGAAGAAGCAAGGGATCACATTCACGGAAGTCAAACAACTCGACAAGTTGCTGTTTACCTAGCTGACGACCGTAACAGGTAATGTCAAAAAATTGTGTTCATTAGATATAAAATGTAAATTATATATACTATGGCTTTTATTGGTTGATCGTTTTTATAGGTAACATTACTGTAGCTAGCTGGATACGTTTTGAATCGAACAGCACTGCTTTGTTTATCAAACTAGCTAACGTTAGCTAGCATAACGTTACTAGTAGTTAGCTAACTAGATTTCTTCATCCCGGTTGTGCAAACTAGCTAGTTAGCTAACCAATTCCTTTACTATGTGATCCATCAACATGGATTTGGTTAATTCAACAAAGTAATGTGTGTACTTTCTGTATTTCCGATAGAGGCTATGTAAGCTAGTTAGCCAGTGGTATTGGTTTCAGAGTGTGGATACTACTGACAGCTTAGTTAGCTAGCTAAATTAGCTACATGGCTCAATGGCTGTCTGTTTATATGTCCGCTTCAGTCCTACCTGGCTGTAGTTACTGGTGTGGCCATCAACCTGCTCACATGGTGGTGATGACTCACTAGGGTCGAAACCTCTCCTTATTCCCTCATCCCTGTCATCTTCACGTTCTCTGAACAAAGGATAGGTGAAAACAATATGGTGGGTGATGACAGCATGTCAGTGTGGCAAAGTAATTGTCAGACTTGCCAGTATGTATTGGCTCCTCTTTTCAATACCAACTTATTTTGTTTCCTTAGCTGGCCATCATGCTTGGGGGAGGATTTAAAGCAGAAAGACTCCGGGTCAATCTCCGACTGGTGATCAATCGTCTGAAGCTCTTGGAGAAAAAGAAAAGTGAGCCTGGCAACTACATACACACACAAACACTGTGCAAGATGTAGCCTAGTCTCTGTTCATTGACATTTGTGTCTCGGGTTGTCTTTAAAATACATGCTTACAGAATGGATCTTCTCTCTTTGTAGCTGAGCTAGCTCAGAAGGCGCGGAAGGAGATTGCAGACTATCTGTCAACAGGGAAGGATGAGCGAGCAAGGATCCGTGTGGAGCACATCATCAGAGAGGACTACTTGGTAGAGGCCATGGAGATCCTAGAACTGTACTGTGACCTGCTGCTGGCTCGCTTTGGCCTCATCCAGTCCATGAAGTGAGTGAGCCAGCCTAGAGGACTCGGACAAGGAGGCTCTTTCTCAATTGTTTATTTCCTTGCATCATGTCTCCTTGCCGCCTCCTCAAAACACATTGGATGAGGTTAGAGGGGGGAGGAGCCTTGGGACTTCTCTTCCCATGCGTTTTGAGACAGCGACGAGAGCGGATGCAAGGAATCGATTAAAGACAATTGAAAGAAGAGCCAGAATTTCTCCTAGTCAAGGAAAAACTCCTGGCCTTATTATGGGTGTTTGAGGTTATCCTTCAGGGCTTGACATGAACGCTTGTTTTACCTGGCCCGGACAAATAGTTGGACAAGAAGGATATAGATTTACTGTAAGTTGTCTGGATGGACAAGTAAAAAATAGAAATAAATCCTATATCCAAAAATTGCTCAGATCAGAATTGGACCAGTGTCCTCCGCAAGCAATGTGTTGCGCACTGTTCTCCCAATTTCCGCAGAGCGCATCGTAGTATAATTATTGCATTGACAGGTGGTCTTGCGGTCACGAGATGATCAAAGCGCAGAGCATATTTGTTGATCTTCCTTGCTAGTTAGTTATTTGCCCAGTGACAGTACATTTTTGGTTACCAAACAGGGATCATACAGCCATGAAAATCCTGGAAAAGTCAAGTGTGCATCCCATGCATTTATGCCAGTGTGATTGGGCCTGAGGAGAGATATTGCAGCAGGTAGGCTATGGCCTACAAAATAATGTTAGACTAACAGACTGACTAGTTAGCCAACTCAAAACATATCGTGTAGCCTGGCTAGTTATCTTGGTAGTTAAGTATTTAGCTAATAGCATGTATTAATGTCATTGTCATGTCCGATATCCCAAAAAAAATGTGTCTAGCGCTCTTGAATAAATGACCGACACACAGTTGATGAACGGGTGCGTTAACTTACTCCAGTTATAAAAACCGCATGTCAAGCACTCAAAATTGGGAGTTGACTCTATTCCCCTCAATTCAACATTGGACATGTCATTCTGACAGTGTTAAAAATATTCTTAGAATAGCTAGGGCCGAGACTATACCAGTAACTCTTTGGTCCTTTAAAAACCTGCTATGTGTAAAATATTGTGTGCTATAGCTTGGAAAATACATAAATGTGACTCTGGATGACAACATAATGTTTGTTTCCAACATTAAGGCTGTTTTCCTAAAGAAGTGAAATCCGCTTAGTGTTTTGTTTCCTTGCCACAATACTACTGAGTATCGCGATACTGGTATCGCCCCGGCCCTAAGAGTAGCCTAATTGTGAAATTCCTCCTATCCTGTCAATAGATCTCCACAAAAACCTTAATATTTTAGCCTTGATTTGAAGTAGCCTGCCTAAGCCATTTGATCCCTTATTTATTAAATAAGGAAAATATTTAATAAAGACATACATATTTGGTTGTAATTGTAATGCAAAAATATTATTTAGGCTATTTAAGAATTGCCAACCATCCTCCAGGAGAGCCTTAAAGGGCGGCAGGTAGCCTAGAGGTTAGAGCGTTGAGCCAGTAACGAAAAGTAATCTGTCAACGTGCCCTTGAGCAAGTTACTTAACCCTAATTTGCTCCAGGGGCATAGTACTACTATGGCTGACCCAGTAAAACGACACATTTCACTGCACCTATCTGGTGTATGTGACAAGAAGACATATTTGTATTTTTTTAAGGGGCAGTGTTCTATTTTGAGACAATCTGAATATGCATAGAAGTCAATAGGCAGAGGGTGGCCTACATTTTTCTGATTCTCTGTATTCTAATGAGAATTGTATTTTGTAAAGTTGTTCGTTGCATCATACAATACCACTTTGAAGTCACCCTTTTGGCCCATGGTGTTACAGACCATTTTTCATTTTTGGAAACAATTTTTTGAGCTTTCAGACAGTAAAAAATCTGTCAAGCCCTGTACAGTAAAAAATCTGTCAAGCCCTGTCCTTAACACCTATTTGTCTATTTCTTGACAGGGAGCTGGACCCTGGCCTGCAGGAGGCTGTGTCCACTCTCATCTGGGCAGCCCCACGTCTGCAGTCTGAGGTCAACGAGCTCAAAATTGTGAGTAGTATGCAATGTGCTGCTGCGTTGACCCTGGAGATAGCATGCCTAGTTGCTTGGACTAGTCTTACTATACTGCCTAATTTAAACACTTGCGTACCCCCCTTCCCTAATACACATGTAACTATTGGACTAGAAATTGTGCCTTCCTGTATTATACTTATGCTACAATGTATTATTCTATTGTACTGCCATATACTTTGTTTGAATTCTTATCTTTTATTATTTCTTATTGTTGTTGCCTTGTCGAGAAGGAACCTGCAAGTAAGCATTTCGTTGGACCATGTATACGATGCGTATTCCGTACATACGACTAATAAAGCTTGAAACTAGTCCTCAGTAAAGAAATGTAATGCAGTTTGTACACTTTTTGCTGTATTGTGATCCTTGATACTGTGCTTTCTCCATACAGGTGTCTGACCAGCTGTGTGCCAAATACAGCAAGGAGTATGGCAAGCTCTGTAGGACAAACCAAATCGGGACTGTCAATGATAGGGTATGCATTTTCAGATGGCCTGCTTCAAGATATATGTTGATGTGTTTGTTTCTGTGTGCCTAAAACATATTTCTCTGTCTCTACTTTACCCCATAGCTCATGCATAAACTGAGTGTAGAGGCTCCTCCTAAGATCCTGGTGGAGCGCTACCTCATTGAGATTGCCAAGAACTACAACGTGCCCTACGAGTCAGACGCCATGGTCAGAGTGAGTATCTGATGATGAAACCGGTCTGCCTCCCACCATTCACCTGTGTGCCGACCACCTGACTGACTACTATTTATATACTACCAAGTCTGGAACCAACAGGACCCTGAACAGCTTCTTCCCCCAAGCCATAAGACTGCTAAATAGGTTGTTAAATAGTTAACAAAATAGCTACCCAGACTATCTGCATTTACCCTTTTTGCACTAACCTTTGACTCATCACATACACTGCTGCTACTGTTCATTACCTATCCTGTTGCCAAGTAACTTTATTGTCCCACTCCTCTTTGCAGATCTTCTCCAAGTCATTAAGGTTTCGAGGCTGACGTTTGGCAACTCGAACCTTCAGCTTCCTCCACAGATTTTCTATGGGATTAAGGTCTAGAGACTGGCTAGGCCACTCCAGGACCTTAATGTGCTTCTTCTTGAGCCACTCCTTTGTTGCCTTGGCCGTGTGTTTTGGGTCATTGTCATGCTGGAATACCCATCCCGACCCATTTTCAATGCCCTGGCTGAGGGAAGGAGGTTCTCACCCAATATTTGACGGTACATGGCCCCGTCCATCGTCCCTTTGATGCGGTGAAGTTGTCCTGTCCCCTTAGCAGAAAAACACCCCCAAAGCATAATGTTTCCTCCTCCATGTTTGACAGTGGGGATGGTGTTCTTAGGGTCATAGGCAGCATTCCTCCTCCTCCAAACACGGCGAGTTGAGTTGATGCCAAAGAGCTCCATTTTGGTCTCATCTGACCATAACACTTTCACCCAGTTCTCCTCTGAAACATTCAGATGTTCATTGGCAAACTTCAGACGGGCATGTATATGTGCTTTCTTGAGCAGGGGGACCTTGCAGGCGCTGCAGGATTTCAGTCGTTCACGGTGTAGTGTGTTACCAATTGTTTTCTTGGTGACTATGGTCCCAGCTGCCTTGAGATCATTGACAAGATCCTCCCGTGTAGTTCTAGGCTGATTCCTCACCGTTCTCATGATCATTGCAACTCCATGAGGTGAGATCTTGCATGGAGCCCCAGGACGAGGGAGATTGACAGTTATTTTGTGTTTCTTCCATTTGCGAGTAATCGCACCAACTGTTGTCACCTTCTCACCAAGCTGCTTGGCGATGGTCTTGTAGCCCATTCCAGCCTTGTTTAGGTCTACAATCTTGTCCCTGACATCCTTGGAGAGCTCTTTGGTCTTGGCAACGGTGGAAAGTTTGGAATCTGATTGATTGCTTCTGTGGACAGGTGTCTTTTATACAGGTAACAAACTGAGATTAGCCTACCTCAATTACCTCGTACCCCTGCACATCGACTCGGTACTGGTACCCCGTGTATATAAGCAAGTTATCGTTACTCATTGTGTATTCATTATTACTTTGATTATTACTTTTCAGTTTTTTCTCTATTTTATTTCTCTCTGCATTGTTGGGAAGGGTCCGTAAGCATTTCACTGTTAAAGCCAATTTATGCTTGATCCGAAAATGTGGTCGGAGGCTTCGTATGGAGGGTGTGACGCAATTGTGCAGCCTCCGGAGGCATGCAGAGGCCAAATCAAGTTCTGTACAGCATCGCTGTGCGCCTCGTGAATTTTTTAACAATGCAGAGGGCTCCGTATAGCTCCGCATTGACATGATTGTTTGACGGTATGTGGGGGCGGGAGGTCCTTTATAAACACAAACTCACTTCCTTGACATCAGCTCTGCGCTGCTCCGCGACGCGCAAGTAGTATGAATGCCCTGACTTCTGCAGAGGCCGTATCACCATAAATGCTGCATGGCCAATGCAGACGTTGGATTGACCATGCACCAACTTTTAGTCTACACCTATTGTTTACGAATCGTGATGAATAACATTGGATTTTTATTTCCCCCTCGCAGCCAGAGGTGTGTACAGGCGAGGAGGCTGACCTCATCGACGTGGACTCTGACTTCAAGAAGCCAGGCGGTGGAGGAGGTGGTGGAGGCGGCTTCACCGCTGGAGCCATGCCCATGGGCCCCCCATCAGCGTTCAGCTACCCAACACCCAAAGGAGCAGTAAGACCATTCTTTTCAATAGTGGCATAAATGACACCTAACTCTTGTTTGGCGAGTCCGCAGTAGGGGGAAACAACGCCACTGACGTTATTGTTTTTGTTGCCGAGGTGCTTCGTGCAGCAGGGTAAAAAAAAAGTGCAGTACATATTGTGCTTTTCTATCGCGCGTGCAATGATGTCAGAGGGGAAGAAAACAGTGTTACTTGTTTGCTGTAACTTCGTTGTTGTTGTTGTAATATCGCTAACAGACATGGCTGTTTCACCATTAAGGATTCCAGCTTTAAGACTGAAAAATAGAGATGTTGATATGAATGGGATGTTTTTATTTATATTCGGTTTTTTTCTTCAGATGCCCGGCCCCATAGGGTTCAACGGCCCCTCTGTTGGCACCTATGATGCCTTTAACAACTTCCAGCCTCCAATGAGAGGAGGGCAGCCCCCTGAGCTGCCGAGCTGCCCCCCCACCTACGAGTCTGTAAGTGTCAGAGCCCCCTGCACCTTCTGCTTCTCCAGACAGATGGACAGACGGCCAGTTCACCTTTCAGGGAAGAGGAGTTCATTATAGTTTGCTTGTGCCATCTCTTTTCAGCACAGTGCTATGCTACAGCGACATGATAGGGATTGGATAAGAACAGATAGAATGTGGAAACGGGCCATAGCTGGTATGAACTGCTAATCACTAACCTTGTGCTGAACTGCATACGACTGTCTTTGAATGCTCTGAGTGAGATCTGCTTGCTGTCAAACTAGTATGTTACTGGATGTAGTAGGGAAGCAAAGTTCTTCACAGTGAAGAATGCAATTTTGAGGTGAATTATATTATTAGCTCTTGCTTTTTGCTCATTCTTACCCCAGCGGTGTTGGCTTTCTCAGCAATGCACTACTTCAATGATTCTTCCTCCCCAATCACATACTAACATACAAAACATTGTTTTCCTCTGCCTTCTCATGTATCTATAGAACTTTAACATTTCAACATGCAGGCAGGGTAGAGAGATCGTCTTAACACATGCGTGTGTGTTTTTTCAGATTGATGAGCTGTCTATTAAACCTTCTGGTCCATCCCAGGTCTCTGGTAAGTTGTTTTCAATGAATATATCCTTTCCTACACGTCAATCTCTTCAACGATAGTATTGCTTGCTTTTTGCATAACAGTTGCATTGGGGGTGTATTTGTAATGTAAATCTAAACCTATGTTCTTTCCACAGGCCCCGGGCCTTCATCCCAGATCTACGATAACAACGCCCTCCCTGAGCTGCCCTCAGTTCCCGACACGCTTCCCACTTCCTCCTTTGGAGTTGGACGGAACACTGCGAGCTCTGATGACATCGACTTTGATGACCTGTCACGACGCTTTGAGGATCTGAAGAAGAAGACCTAGTCCTCCAGTATCCCATCATGCTCCTCTGTGTTGTCAGTCACCACAGCTACAGTATCAGGAAATATTGAAATATTTGTATTGGCACCCTTTGCAGTGAAATTCTCCACTGTGTAGTTTTTACTGATGTTAACATTAACTGTACCTCATTCAAACCACGTGTCTGTCTGGCACACTGAAGGTGAAGGCCCTTTAGAGGGCTATTTGACAGTACATTTTATTATCGACTACATCCAATCAAAACTGGACCGTATAGATGTCATCTTTATATGAGCACTTTGGATATAAAATGGCCTTCCTGATAGTAACTACTATTCTATGTAACCTCTCGAGCGTTCTTGTTGCTATGGTTGTCACGTATCCCCTTGACTCACAGTATGAGCCAATATTTGGTTAATAATCAAATAGTCTTAACTAATCGTGTCTCTCGTCCAGAGACTGGATCGAGTGATACAGAATCTCAATCGTTACTTGTTGGTGGGTTTCATGAAACTGGTTTTGAACTGTCACTGAATCGCATAGTAGAAAAACCTGTTTTCTGGCACACACCCATTGTGTCGAAAGTATTAAGGCCTAGGACAGTTTCAAGGCCGTAGCACCCTGTCCATGTCGGGTTTTACCCTCATTACTCTGGCTCTGAACCTTTGGTGACGTCTGAAACCTGTTCTATGACCTATCTGTTACCCTACATGCGGTGGAGGGATTCAATCAGACTTGAAATAATTTGGTGTATTTTTTCTCCTAATAAAATTAACTTTTATTGTTTTAAAGCTGATTTAGTCTAACACTATACATGCACTTTCCATGCTTGTGTAATCTAACCCATGCAATGAATTGGCGAAGGGAATGCATGATTTGACTGGTGACAGAAATTATAGTCTATATGAAAAACCACTTGACCATGTAAGTTTGTGATGTAAATACGTCCCTCAAAATGTCATGGGTTCTTCTTCCTCTTTGTGTAAGAGAGGTTTATAGTGTGATTCAGTATGTTATCTATGTATGTGTGTCTTGTGCACCACACTGCATTGACCATCATCAGAGGCCTTCCCGTTCTATAAGTATATTCAGACGATGTACACATAACATGCCTATTTCTCAATTTATATAGTCTTTGTTAAAATTAGTTCAAGGTTTTTTTAATTTGATGAAAATGTATTGAATCTTGGTGATGGAAGAAGACGTTTTGATAAACGAGAGAAAGGGGGTGGATTTGCTGTTCCTGTCTTATAGCTTGTTTTCACCAATCTATAATGGATGGAAGTTAGGCCTGTCTACTCCACCATACTAAAATATGGCTTTAACACTACTGTACAGTGACCTGCTCACTGCTCATCCTCTTAGGTGTGCTGTAGGATTGTTTGAAGAATGTTTGATACTAACTTTGATTAGCAAGTGTATATCTTGTCACATAAAACAGATAATAGCCTATGTTTTTTTCTGTCTAATAAAGGACATATTTCTAATTGAAGTTCTGGTGTGGCTAATTTCCGAGAGATGTAATTGTTTTGGCGTCATATCTTGTCAAGTGAAGCAGTGCTGCTGTAATCAAAGGAACTCAGTTGGTAGTGCAGTGTAGATGCTAGTACTGCCACTAGAGGGTAGATTACTACATGAACAGTGAAGCTTGACTGATATGGATGCCTCAGTGGATGAGGCAGGTAAAGGGTTACACACAGACACAGGATGTCTCAACCCACTCAATAATCCTCATTCAACATTCTAACAGGTTAACTGGGTTTGTTGTCTCCACAGAAACTAGTCTCCTAAGCCTTGAGGGACCCATTGCCAAGGGAGCAGGGTTTCATTCAACGACCTTGAAAATACCTTGAAACAAACAGAAAATAAATAAAAATAAGTGTACTTCAACTAAGTTTGAAGTGGAATCTCCGTTTCAGGAAGTTTCCCAAGTTTTGTGCTGGCAGAACATGGCCCAGGTTCCTGCAGAGGGATGCTTGTTTGACACTGTTGTCTTGTGTAGATCTGTAGCATTGCAATGGGATGTTTTCCTGGAACTCTCAGGAGCTTGAGGCTTTTGTCAATCCTGGCATAACTTTTTGTCTTGATGTGTTTTGCCAGTGGATGTAAGGGAGTTGGGGTGACTGTGTGAAGTGGACTGGCCCAACAGTACAAAGCTCTATGTGACATTATTACTATGTGGAATGCCTACTCTCTGTGCCAGTTGGGTTAAAGTGGTTCAGAATAAGTCCCTCAGAGTCACAGGGGGCTGCTGAGGGGAGGACGGCTCATAATGGCTGGAATGGAGTGAATGGAATGGTATCAAACACATGGAAACCACCATGTGTTCGATACCATTCCATTGATTCCGTTCCAGGCATTACTATGAGCCGTCCTCCCCAATTAAGTTGCCACTGGCCTGCTGTGCTCAGAGTCCTTATAACTTCAAAGAGAGGAGATGCTACATCAGAGTGGTCTTTGATCTGTGGCACTCCAGTTTTGTTCATAGTCACATTACAGAGTGTCCTGTCCTGTCCAGATGGCTGTCTGAGAGGTTCTAATCTAAGGTGTCTGTACCTGCAAGAATTAGTTTATTCTGAGTGTCAAGCTGACCCAGCTAGGTGAGTCACTGTGCAGCGCCACTAAACGTCTCTGACTGTGGACGATGATGAGCTATTTTGACAGCTCTGTCTCCCTCTCTCCCTAGTGGCAATACAGGCTGCTACCCCCTTCTGAGGTAGGGATAGGGCAGAGGATGGGTGCTAGGCCCTGTAGTCTTTAAAAGAGTCCACTTGTGTTCAGCTCTGCATGGTGCTGTTTACAGACGTGGGGCATGCAGTTTGTATGTGGCAGAGTAGGGGATGGAGAGACAGGGGTCACCCACATGTCTGGCGGTGTAGGAATGGGTGCAGGGTACAGCCCGAGTGTTCACAGTAAACATAAGCCTAAAGTTGCTCAAACTGCTCACTACATAGGATGACAGGTTTGCGCACTTGAGAACTGGGATTTGTTCAGTGCTGTACTTTTTGAGAGAACATTTGATGGGTCCCTGTAGAATGGCAGTGACAAGGCTAGCTACCTGATCAAAGTGGAGTGATGGTGGAGGTGGGGTTTGTCCCCGGTTCTGCCAATGTTCTCCACCGGCTCCTTATTAACAATCTTTTTGTGAAAAGGTCCTATGGTGCCACAGACGATTACGTTCGCACCTGGTGATGTGTGAGGTTACCGTCGAAAAAACACTTTCAAGTTTAATTATGGGGACTTTTCAGTGATTTTCCACTGTTTGGAGTATTGAGTTAAGCGCATAGGGGAAATGAAGCAGCATAAGTCCTGGTTTCTCAGGTTGGCTTGACCTAACAACAAATATCAACTAAGACAATTAGGTTATTACTATACACAATATAATATAAAAATAATTCTTATTACATTCTACCCGAGGACAACACCATTGACCGCTGACAACCCTCTCTGTGTGCAGAGTTTAGTTAATGGTTTTAAAATAGCAAGAATAAAAAGAAAACAACCAATTGGAGAAGGCTGCTTCCCTGCCATGAGTCACCCAGTCAGAGGTTGAAGCCCTGAAGCACTTTCCTTTCTGCTCATGGCCAAACTCTATTTTTAATACGCTAAAGGGGAGTAGACAGACTCAATTTAGGTTCACAGAATATTAATATCCCCTCTTCCAACATTTTATTAGCTGGCAATTCCCCAATAAATGCACTAAATTAATTTCTCACATTGACTTGAATTGATTAATTTGTGCTTTTTATTAAAACATACTCTGCAGAGGGCCCGATTAATTTAAACTGAAGTCAGATATTCGTTTGGAATGGATAATGTTCTGTCTGACCACTGTCCATTGTTGCTGCAGTGAGATTTACCTCTATTGCAATCTCCATTGATACTGAAGCCTTGCAGAGACGAAATGATTGATTACACAAACACACACATTTACTCAGGTTCAGCCTTCAGTTCTATGGAGTCTCACAAAATGAATGAATACATGATCAATTGCATGTACTGTATAATGGATCTCAAAGCCCTCAGAAGAAATATATGTTTCAGTGGAGCTGCCTTTTCTCATTACCCAAGGGATGAATGCAAGGTCTTAGATTGTTGTTTTATTTATCAAACACATTCTTAGTCTTAGAGATCATGTGACTTTGCATACATTCCTAGCAGGGGGTTTGGGCACTCTACACTGTAAACGAAAGTATTCATCCCCTTGGCGTTTTTCCTATTTTGTTGCATTACAACCTGTAATTTAAATGGATTTTTATTTGGATTTCATGTAATGGACATACACAAAATAGTACAAATTGGTGAAGTGAAATGAAAAACATTACTTGTTTCAAAAAATTCTAAAAAATAAATAACGGAAAAGTGGTGCGTGCATATGTATTCACCCCCTTTGCTATGAAGCCCCTAAATAAGATCTGGTGCAACCAATTACCTTCAGAAGTCACATAATTAGTTAAATAAAGTCCACCTGTGTGCAATCTAAGTGTCACATGATCTGTCACATGATCTCAGTATATATACACCTGTTCTGAAAGGCCCCAGAGTGCAACACCACTGAGCAAGGGGCACCACCTGTTACGGATTCAGCCAAGGCTGCCCCTCCTCCTTGCTCGGGCAGGCTTCGGCGTTCGTCGTCCCCGGAGTACTAGCTGCTACCGATCTATGTTTCTGTGTTTGACTTGTTTGGTCTTTATTGTGTACACCTGTTTCCCATTAGGTTGTATTGTCTTCCCTATATAACCCTCTGTCTTTCAGTGTGTGTTGTGTGTGATTGTATTCGTCATCGGCAGTAGTTCGGTTATTTTCCTCCCTGTGTGGAGGTTGTTTATACTCTGGTTACTTTCGAGTAAAGTACGTTTCCAGTAAGCTCTGTGTCCTGCGTTTGACTTCGCCTACCGCATTTACTGACGCTCTGACAGAATCACACACCTGACATGGAGTCAGCAGGAGCAGCGGTGCCAGCAGGATCAATGGAAGAACGCGTACAACAACAAGCGGCCATGATCCAGGCTCTCGGCACCGCCATGGAACGCGTAGTGAACACCATGGAGCGATGGGAGAGAGGAGGTCTGCCTACACCTTCTCCGATTACACCCCCACCATCATCGATACCCATCGCTTCACCTCCGGGGTCCAGTGGGATTTGGCTCTCGCTCCCGAGGGCTTATGATGGCACAGCTGCCGGGTGTCAGGGTTTCCTGCTCCAGGTCGAACTCTACCTGGCAACCATCCACCCGGTCCCCTCGGGATACGAGAGCGTGTCCGCCCTCATCTCCTGTCTGTCCGGCAAGGCGCTGGAGTGGGCCAATGCCGAGTGGGGGGGAATAGACGCCGCTACTGTCAACTATGCGGAGTTCACCTGCCGCTTTAGGGCGGTATTCGATCATGCACTAGAAGGAAAAGCGGCGGGTGAGCGTCTATTCCACCTCAGACAGGGGATGAGGAGCGCGCAGGAATTTGCACTGGACTTTAGGACTCTGGCTGCCAACGCGGGATGGAATGAGAGGGCCCTCATCGACCACTACCGATGTAGCTTGAGGGAGGACGTGCGTCGGGAATTGGCCTGCAGGGACACCAACCTAAGCCTGGACCAACTGGTGGACATCTCGATTCGCCTGGATACCCTGTTGGCTACCCGCGGACGTCCGGATCCGGGGCCGTCCATTCCATCCCCCAGCACTTCCGAGCCGACCCCTATGGAGCTCGGAGGTGCTGGCATGAGGGAGACCAGGAGAAGGGCCGTCCCCTGCACCAACTGTGGCCGCAGAGGACACACTGCTGGTCGATGCTGGGGAGGGTCTCCCAGGAGTCGAGGCGGTAGGCAGCGCACTGATGAGCCATTCCAGGTGAGTAGGCACCCAACTCACCCAGAGCTCCCTGTTGCGCATATGTGTATTAATGTTGTGTTTCCCGAGGTTTCTCCTTATTCCCAGCATAAGGCGCTAGTCGATTCAGGCGCAGCTGGGAATTTTATCGATCGTCAGTTTACCTATAAGTTAGGGATTCCTATTGTTCCAGTTGATGTGCCCTTCCCTGCATCATCGAGTTTATTTTTTGTGAAGAAGAAGGATGGTGGTTTACGCCCGTGCATTGACTACCGTGGTCTCAATCAGATCACAATCAAATACAGCTATCCACTCCCTCTGATTGCTAGTATGACGGAGTCATTACACGGGGCGCGCTTCTTCACAAAATTGGATCTCAGGAACGCGTACAACCTGGTGCGTATTAGGGAGGGAGATGAGTGGAAGACAGCATTTAGTACCACCTCGGGCCACTATGAGTACCTCGTCATGCCATACGGTTTGATGAATGCTCCTTCAGTCTTCCAATCGTTTGTGGATGAGATTTTCCGGGACTTGCATGGACAGGGGGTAGTGGTGTATATCGATGACATTCTAATATACTCCGCCTCACGAGCCGAACATGTGTCCCTGGTTCGGCGGGTGCTTGGTAGACTGTTGGAGCATGACCTGTATGTGAAGGC